TATTCCAGCAGTTCATTTCTGGGAATCTGACCTACAGATATAGCAGCAGAACACATTCAAAATGATATACAAACAAGATTATTCACTGTTGTATTGTTTATAAAAATGCAAGGTTGGAAGCAATCCAAGTGTCTTTCTGTAGGGGACTGGTTGAAGATGGTGTGTCCATACGTACTGGGATATAATGATTAGAAGAAAGCAAGTAGCAGAAATACATGTATAGTACGTTATCTTTTATGTACGAAATGGAAACTATTGCTTAAAAATACAATGGAAGAATAAACATAAATCCTGGAATATGGCTAGATGTGGTGGCTCACTCCTATAATCCTAGCACTTTCAGAGGCAGAGTCAGGAGGATTGCTTGAGGCCAGGAGTTTGAAACCAGCCTGGTCAACATAGTGAGACCCCCTTCTCTACAAAAGAAAAAATTTAAAAATTAGCCAGGTGTGGTGGCACATGGTTGTCATCCCAGCTACTTGGGAGTCTGAGGTGGAAGGATGGCTTAAGCCGAGGAGGTTGAAGCTGCAGGGAGCTGTGATGGCACCACTGCACTTTAGCCTGCACAACAAGACCTTGTCTCAAAAAGAAAACAAAAAAACTGAGGTTGATCTATCAGAAAAGAATGGGTCATTGTTATAGCTACTAATATTAAGAATTCATTCTTTGGCTGGGTGCAGCGGTTCATACCTGTAATCCTTGCACTTTGGGAGGCCAAGGTGGAAGGATCATTTGAGTCTAGAAGTTGGAGACCAGCCTGGGAGACCCTATCTCTATAAAAAATGAAAAAATAAGCCAAGCATGGTAGTGTATATATGTGGTCCCAGCTACATGGGAGGCTGTGATGCAAGGATCACTTGAACCCAGGAGACAGAGGTTGCAGTGAGCTGAGATTATACCACTTCACTCCAGACTGGGTGACAGCAAGATCCTGTTTCAAAAAAAAAAAAAAAAGAAAGAAAAAAAGAACAGCAAATTCAATCTTTGCTTGAAAATTGCGGAGACAGTAAATCCTAGATGTTCTCACCAAAACAATAAGTGATGGCACCACTACACTCCAGCCCGGGTCACAGGAAGACCCTGTCTCTAAAAGAAAACAAATAAAAACTGAGGTTGATCTATCAGGAAAAGTTGGTCATTGTCTAACCACACCTACTAACATGAAGAATTCCCACAAATACTTTATATGATTATAAATATAAAATTATATTAATTTTAAGGAGCTAAATACCTGTTTTCAGGGGAATTTACGGAAACTCAGATGTCTCATTTTCTTGAAAGTGTCGCCGGGTGCGGTGGCTCAAGCCTGTAATCCCAGCACTTTGGGAGGCCGAGGCGGGTGGATCACGAGGTCGAGAGATCGAGACCATCCTGGTCAACCTGGTGAAACCCCGTCTCTACTAAAAATACAAAAAATTAGCTGGGCATGGTGGCACATGCCTGTAATCCCAGCTACTCAGGAGGCTGAGGCAGGAGAATTGCCTGAACCCAGGAGGCGGAGGTTGCAGTGAGCCCAGATCGCGCCATTGCACTCCAGCCTGGGTAACAAGAGCGAAACTCTGTCTCAAAAAAAAAAAAGAAAGTGTCACATAACTCAACTGTGTATAAAGATAATGTGAACATTTCAAAATAGGACAAAAGTGAGATTGTTATAAATAGGGTGAGATAAGTACATCATAATTTAGAAGAAATTTCATTTCAGTCTATGTTACAGAGTTAAACTCCAAATATATTGGAGTTAACTATTAAAATAAATCATAGAAGAGTGGTCAGAAAACAGAGCAGAACTTTGTCAGATCTTGCGAGACTTTTTTTTTTCTTTTCTGGTTTTAAGTTTGTAGAGAGGAAGACTTCAGTTAAAAATTATTCAAACAAGAAATGATTGACAAAGATATACATTTATAACAGTCTTAACCCAATAGGTTATTTTGCATAATCAAAATGCAAAGTAAAACTACAATGAGAACCCATATTATACCTATTAAATATTTTTTTTATTTTGTTTGTTTTTTTCTTATTACCTATTAAATATTTTAACTTTTAATGCTGAAACATAAAAACAAAAAAAATAGAAAAAAAATTTAATGCTGGTATGATTAGGTGAAGTGGATACTCACATGATGGTTGAATTCAAATTAGTAGAGCTGCTTTGGAAAGCACAATGGTAGTTCAGGTCAAAAGCTATGGTAAAAATCGGCATATCCTTTGACCTAGTGTTTTCATTATCCTAAGGGAATGGTTAAAAAGAGTAATTAAGGCTGGATATGGTGGTTTAAACCTGTAATCCCCAGCACTTTGAGAAGATTGCATGAGTACACAGGTTCAAAACCAGCCTGAGCAATGTAGCAAGACCCTATCTCTGAAAAAAAAAAAAAAAAGTAAAATAAAAAAAATTTTTCTTAAAAATCTATTGGTGTAAAACTGCTAAATCCAATAGAAATTCCTACTCCAGGCCAGGTGCAATGGCTCACGCCTGTAATCCCAGCACTTTGGGAGGCTGAGGCTGGCGGATCACGAGGTCAAGAGATCGAGACCATCCTGGTCAACATGGTGAAACCCTGTCTCTACTAAAAATACAAAATTAGCTGGGCATGGTGGCACGTGCCTGTAATCCCAGCTACTCAGGAGGCTGAGGCAGGAGAATTGCCTGAACCCAGAAGCCGGAGGTTGCGGTGAGCCGAGATTGCACCATTGCACTCCAGCCTGGGTAACAAGCGAAACTCTGTCTCAAAAAAAAAAAAAAAAAAAAAAGAGTAATTAAGGCTGGATATGGTGGTTTAAACCTGTAATCCCCAGCACTTTGGGAAGATTGCATGAGTACACAGGTTCAAAACCAGCCTGAGCAATGTAGCAAGACCCTGTCTCTGAAAAAAAAAAAAAAAAGTAAAATAAAAAAAATTTTTCTTAAAAATGTATTGGTGTGAAACTGCTAAATCCAATAGAAATTCCTACTTCAGGCCGGGCGTGGTGGCTCAAGCCTGTAATCCCAGCACTTTGGGAGGCCAAGGCAGGTGGATCATGAGGTCAAGAGATCGAGACCATCCTGGTCAACATGGTGAAACCCGTCTCTACTAAAACTACAAAAAATTAGCTGGCCATGGTGACTCGTGCCTGTAATCCCAGCTACTCAGGAGGCTGAGGCAGGAGAATTGCCTGAACCCAGGAGGTGGAGGTTGCGGTGAGCTGAGATCGCACCAGCCTGGGTAACAAGAGTGAAACTCTGTCTCAAAAAAAAAAAAAAAAAAAAAAAAGGAAATTCCTACTCCAGTTTTAGGATCAGCCCCATGTCTTGGTTGATTGAAACTCTTTACTCTCAGTAGTCCAGAATTGAGGGGTCCCTTGTCACACAAGTATATTCACAGTATGCTTGTATTTCACTTTGTTACGTAGTCTTTATAATCTTTTTACACTGACTTTTCTGAAGTATAATAGAAAAAGCCTGCCAGTCATAAATAATAAATATATAGCTGAAGTTTTTATAAAATGTACACCATCTAATCACCATTCAAAATAGACTTTTTTTAGCATCCCAGAAATCCCTCTTGTGCCCTGTGCCTTCCCTTTCTGCCCAAAGAGAAACACTACTGGCTTGTAATCCCAAAACTTCATTTTATTAGTTGTGAATAATCTCTTAATAGAGTTTGATTCTTGTTGCCCAGGCTGGAGTGCAGTGGTGCAGTCTTGGCGCACTGCAATCTCCTTCTCCCAGCTTCAGGTGGTTTTCCTGCCTCAGCCTCCTGAGTAGCTGGGATTACAGGCATTTGCCACCACTCCTGGCTAATTTTGTATTTTTAGTAGAGACAGGATTTCTCAATGTTGGTCAAACTGCTTTTGAACTCCCAGCCTCAGGTGATCTGCCTGCCTCAGCCTCCCAAACTGCTGGGATTACAGGTGTGAGCCACCATGCCTGGCCAATAATAAACTTTTGTATTAATGTGCTGTGCCCTCTTTAATTTTGGTTATTTGAATTGTTCCCATTTTTTCATTTTAAGACGTTATAATATTAGTGCTATAATACTGTGATAATTTCTTTTTTTTATCTTTTTTTTTTTAGTGTGTTTTTCTTTCTTTTTTTAGAGATGGGGTCTCGCTATGTTGCCCCAGGCTGGGGTGCAGTGGCTTTTAACAGGCATGATCCCACTCCTCATTGGCACAGGAGTTTTGACCTGCTCCATTTCCGACCTAGGCCGGTTCTCCCCTCCTTAGGCAACCTGGTGGTCCCCTGCTCCCAGGAGGTCACCATATTGATGCCAAAATTAGTGCAGACACCTGATCGGCATAGCACACTACAGCCCAGAACTCCTGGGCTCAGACAATCCTCCCACATTAGCCTCCCAAGTAGCTGGGACTGCAGGCATGCACCACTGCACCTGGCCTTTTTAAACATTTTATTATACTTTGAGTTCCGGAGTACATGGGCAGATCTTGCAGGATTGTTACATAGGTACACATATGACATGGTGGCTTGCTGCCTCCATCCTCCCATCACCTACATTAGGTATTTATCCTAATGTTATCCATCCTCAGTGTCTCCACCCACTGCTGTCCCTCCCCTAGCCCCCCACCCGCTAACAGACCCTAGTGTGTGATACCATAATTTCTAATATAGTCAAAACCTACAAGCAGTTCATCTTAACCTGCAGTTACCAGACTCTTCAATATGACGAGTGGTGCCCTTTATAGATTTATGGTCTTCATCCCTAGTCCTTAGCTGAGTGCTCTACAGAGTATAAGATGAATATGAACTTGTCAGGTAATTAGCACCTGTGAAGAGAACAAACATATGAAGGCTTTAAGAGAAATCACACTAATTTTACTTATTTAATGTGTGCTTACATTGTCGAAGATGGAAATAAGTGTGGAAAAGGAGTGTGACAGCAGTATCCGCCACTCCTTCGATTGACTTTCAAGATGGCTGTGTCATGAGAAACCTGATTTGTTTTTTCATGCCTGATGTCATATCCCTCAGAAGTTACTAAATTTTCTCTTTGTTTCAATAGTCAATGGCAGTAATCCTGAAGGTGAAGATTCTGAGAAGGAATCTATAGAAAATGAAGATAATAGAGAAAAGTCTTCAGATGATGATGAAATGGATTCTTCATTGGTCTCTCAGCAGCTTCTAGATAACCAGGAAAAGGAAAGACTAAATACATTCATTCAACAGAAAAGGAAAATGAGAAATCTATTAGTTACCATTGAGAATGATACTCCCCTAGAGGAACTCTCAAAATATGTAGACGTCAGTATTATTGCACTTACTCGAAATCGGAGGACAAGGAGGTGGTACACTTGTCCACTGTGTGGGAAACAATTTAATGAAAGTTCTTACCTTATTTCCCACCAGAGGACTCACACTGGAGAAAAACCCTATGACTGTAGTCACTGTGGGAAAAGCTTCAATCATAAAACAAATCTCAATAAACATGAACGGATTCATACAGGAGAGAAACCTTATTCCTGTTCTCATTGTGGGAAAAATTTTCGTCAGAATTCTCATCGGAGTCGTCACGAAGGAATCCATATAAGGGAGAAGATATTTAAGTGTCCAGAATGTGGGAAAACCTTCCCAAAGAATGAGGAATTTGTGCTTCATCTGCAGAGTCATGAGGCTGAGAGACCATATGGTTGCAAAAAATGTGGGAGAAGATTTGGTCGGCTGTCAAACTGTACCCGGCATGAGAAAATCCACTCAGCCTGTAAGACACAAAAGCAGAAGTAATATTGGGAAAGATTTGATGATGCTTCCCCAACCTGAGAGCTGTCATAATGAATTCCGAATTCCCAAGCTGCCTAAAAAGATACAAATATGTAGGCTGGGCTCTGTGGCTCACACCTGTAATCCCACCGCTTTGGGAGGCTGAGATGGGTGAATTATAAGGTTAGGAATTTGAGACCAGCCTGACCAACAAGTTGAAACCATGTCTCTACTAAAAGTACAAAAATTAGCTGGGTGTTGTGGCATGCACCTGTAATCCTAGCTACTCAGGAGGCTGAGGCAGGATAATCGCTTGAATCCAAGAGGCAGAGGTCGCAGTGAGCCGAAATCACACCACTGCGCTCCAGCCTGGGTGACCCAGCAAAACTCCATCTCAAAGAAAAAATAACAATATGTGAAAAGCTCATTATAGCCAAAATTGGATAAATGCCTATCTTGGCTAAAACCTCAAATTGTTAGAAAATTCACAGGGAAGAAAACATATTCAAGGGCTATACCTCAGCATCCACGCTTTCTGGACTAAGGAGCTTTCCTTTATGAAATTATATGGCAATGTATAGGTCACAGATCCCTTTCCCAAGAAAGACTTTGAAGATGAATCTGGAGGCTGCTTACTTGCAAGACAGAGTGACTCATGTCTATTGTAAGTATATCCATTTTCCCACCACATGGGGATTTGTACTTGAGAAATAGTGCAAAGGTTCTTATCTGGAACTATGTTCTCATGAAAGAACCAAACTACTGGCTTGTTGAGCCAACAGCTTCTAATAGCAATTCATATAACCCTCTAAGAACACCTGTTTAAGTCTTGAGTGTTGAATTGTTTACTTTGGAATATAGGAAAATTACAGCAATTGAATGTCAGAGTCTCAGTTGGATGTGATCTAAACTTGCAATCAATTTCAATAACATTTGCAGTTTGTGATAAAATCGACTTTTACAGATTCCTTTTTACAACATAAGTGTCTACTGTTTTTACTCTTTTGTTCAGCTGTTGATCTCTCCAACAGCTGTTTCATGCCTCTCCCTTGCCAAAATAAGTTTGGATTACTCAGGCAGGGCCATCCAGTCCCACCACTAGAAAAGATCTTCAGAATCTTGTTCCTCTCTTGAGCCCAGATCTCATGTGCTAGGAGGGAAACCCCAAGACCCATAGAGGAGGGGTCAACCTGGAGGCAGGAAAAGTTGGCTTAGATCCATGTCTCATCAATAACCGTACCATATTCTTAGGTCCCCTCTACACCATCATCAGACCTTTGGTGATGGGGTGGTCACTACCTCACAAGGCAAAGTGTGTGTGTATGTATGTATTTTGAGGTGGAGTTTCATGTTCTAAGATGATTGTTGTAGGTGATGGGCAAAAAAAAAAAAGAGATGGAGTTTCACTGTTGTTGCCCAGGCTGGAGTGCAATGGCCTGATTTTGGCTCACTGCAGCTTCTGCCTCCCGGATTCAAGCAATAAGATTCAGCCTCCCAAGTAGCTGGGCATACAGGCATGTGCCACGATGCCCAGCTAATTTTGTGGTTTTTAGTAGAAACGGTTTCTTCATGTTGGTGAGGCTGGTCTCGAACTCCCGACCTCAGGTGATCCATCTCAGCCTCTTGAAGTGCTAGGATTATAGGTGTAAGCCACTGCACCTGGCCCAAAGTGTTGTATATTTAGAAATTACGTCTCTAGTGGTTAGCACACATTGCCCCTCAAGAGACAGGATTCCAGGTGTCTTCATTATAGTGGATATTCGTTGTCTTCAGTCTCTTCATATCCAGACCTTTCTGTCCTCTCTGTCTAGAAGCAAGGCCGGTGATGCAATTTAGGGATTCTTGACCAGTTTTGCTTACTTAAGGTTTCCAAAAGTTTCACATTGGTATTTTGATTGGAATGAAGAAATTCTATAAACTATTTGGGAAAAATTGCAGTGTTTGTTTACATCCGGAAACATGCCTTTGTATTTATGAGAGTGTCATATTCCTGTGAAAATTTTTCTAATTTTCTTCACTTAAGGTTTTACAAAATGTTGTTACTGTAAGTAGTTTTTTTCATTATATTTCTATAGTTGATTATTGTTACATAGGAAAGTTGTTTTTAATTATATAGCTGTGTAGCTAGTCACCTCACTGAATGTTCTTAATTTTCAGTAGTTTCTTGGTTTAGCTCTGTTACAACTTTTGGTAAAATGACACCATTTACAAATAATAGTTTTGTTTCTTGCCTTCTGCCTAACAGATTTTTTTTTTGTTTTGTTATTGGCATGTAATTCTGAGGTTTGTTGTTTTTGTACAAAGCATTCTGAAGGACATTTTATGATACAGTTCAGTCCTGAATCATAATTTAAAAAAAACAGGCCAGGCACAGTGGCTAATGCCTGTAATCTCAGCACTTTGGGAGGAGGCTGAGGTAGGTGGATCACCTGAAGTCAGGAGTTGGAGACCAGCCTGACCAACATGGCAAAACCCTGTCTCTACTAAAAAAAATAAAAAATTAGCTATGTGTGGTGATGGGCGCCTGTAATCTCAGCTATTGGGAAGGCTGAGGCAGGAGAATTGCTTGAACCTGGGAGGCAGAAGTTGGAGTGAAACGAGATCGCACCATTGCACTCCAGCCTGGGCAACAAGAGTGAAACTCCATCTCAAAAAACAATAACACCCTCCATGACCGGGGAAGGCCACCCGGTCACAGAAACTGTTCTTTACTGGCTTTATATTTCAAGCCAACAGTAAATACCCTGTAAAGCCAGCAAAGCTAACAAAACTGGCTGCCCACAACATTATTCACTTATTTGAAAGTGTGGCCAATGGACTAGGACTGGGATCCTGAGCTGTGTTTCTGGAGTCACCAGGCTGTTACCATGTGCAGGGGACTCCTTGTGTACCCAGAAAACAAGTAGCTGCAAGGCAGTGAATAAAGAGTTTCCACTCATTCTTTGGCACCCCTGCCCAAGAGTTGGGTGTTTTATCAGTCCTCATGCAGCCATGGCGCAGTCACCAAGGCACTTTTTGTTTGTGTGTGTGTGTGGTTTTTTTTTTTTTTTGAGACAAGAGTCTCACTCTGGCACCAGGCTGAAGTGCAGTGGCACGACCTCGGCTCACTGCATCCTGCACCTCCTGGTTTCAAGCAGTTCTCCTGCCTCAGCATCTCAAGTAGCTGGGACTACAGGTGTGTGCCACCACACCCAGCTAATTTTTTTGTATTTTTAGTAGAGACGGGGTTTCACCATGTTGGCCAGGATAGTCTCGATCTCTTGACCTCATGATCCACCCGCCTCGGCCTCCCAAAGTGCTGGGATTACAGGCTTGAGCCACCGCGCCAGGCCAATTTTTGTATTTTTAGTAGAGAAGGGGTTTCTCCATGTTGGCCAGGCTGATCTCAAACTCCTGATCTCAGGTGATCTACACACCTTGGCCTCCCAAAGTGCTGGGATTACAGACATGAGCCACGGTGCCCGGCCTACAAATAAAATTCAAATCATGCTCTTAAATAGTAAATTTTCTTTATGTTTTAATTTAGAAACAGAATTATTAGTGTCTTTTGCTAGAGAACCTGATGGAGACAAAGTATTAAGATAAAATGGTGTAGACTGGTGATTTCGAAAAGCTTTTTTATAAAATGGAAGATGAAAAACCAGGATATAAATTAATATCTAAATAAAAATTTCTGTAATCTGCTCCTCTTCTTCTCCTTTAAAAAAAATAAAAATAGGGCCGGGCGCGGTGGCTCACGCCTATAATCCCAGCACTTTGGGAGGCCAAGTTGGGTGGATCACGAGGTCAAGAGATCGAGACCATCTTGGTCAACAAGGTGAAACCCCATCTCTACTAAAAATACAAAAATTAGCTGGGCATGGTGGTGCATGCCTGTAGTCCCAGCCACTTGGAAGGCTGAAGCAGGAGAATTGCTTGAACTCAGGAGGCAGAGGTTGCAGTGAGCTGAGATTGCACCATTGCACTCCAGAATAAAAATTTCTGTGTGTATTGTCACAACAGAGAGTAAAAAAGTAGATGTAGTTGATTGATATGGCTGGACATTTGAGACTGTGGAAGATATTTTTCTTGTTTAACTTACTCATATTTCTGCTGTAATGTGTGATACATAAAGCTCAGATAAGAAAATAAAAATAATTAGCTCAGAGGCCGAGGCGGGTGGATCACGAAGTCAAGAGATCGAGACCATCCTGGTCAACATGGTGAAACCCCGTCTCTACTAAAAATACAAAAATTAGCTGGGCGTGGTGGCGCATGCCTGTAATCCCAGCTACTTAGGAGGCTGAGGCAGGAGAATTGCCTGAGCCCAGGAGGCGGAGGTTGCGGTGAGCCGAGATCGTGCCATTGCACTCCAGCCTGGGTAACAAGAGCGAAACTCCGTCTCAAAAAAAAAAAAAAAAAAAAAAAAAAAAGCTCAAATGAGTGGCAGAATTAGGGCTTTCTGGAACACAAATCTTCCCCTCCCTGCCCCAACAAAGGTCTGATCTTTCCATCAGATGTGTTCATATCAAGGTCTCTGTTGTGAGAAAGAATAAACATCTCTGATAGGAGTTGGCCTGGCCCTCACAGCAAGGTTTTTGTGTTCTCCTGGTGAACATAGAGAATTTCACATAACATCAGATAAGGCCAGTCTGTGACTGTGCTAGAGTAAAACAAAGCAAGACCATTCTGTAATGATGTCTCAACACAACAACATGCACATTGTCATAGACACAAAAATAACCAAACATCCCCCTATGTTGGCTGATACGAGTGACTGCTGTTTCTTTGGCACTCACAGCTTTGGCCTCTTCTTTCCTTCTAGGTAAAATATATTAAGATACCTATTAAGAATTATTCCTAAGGCCGGGCGCGGTGGCTCAAGCCTGTAATCCCAGCACTTTGGGAAGCCGAGGCGGGTGGATCACGAGGTCGAGAGATCGAGACCATCCTGGTCAACATGGTGAAACCCCGTCTCTACTAAAAATACAAAAAACTAGCTGGGCATGGTGGCGCGTGCCTGTAATCCCAGCTACTTAGGAGGCTGAGACAGGAGAATTGCCTGAGCCCAGGAGGCGGAGGTTGCGGTGAGCCGAGATCGCGCCATTGCACTCCAGCCTGGGTAACAAGAGCGAAAACTCCGTCTCAAAAAAAAAAAAAAAAAGAATTATTCCTGTTCTTTAATGCCATCTACTCCAGACTACAGGCTCCTTCCTAATTACTCCCCAACATCACATAAACAGTTGTCCTTATAAAAACTCTTCTATTGAGACACCTCACTATGCCCGATGGTGTGTGTTCTCCCTTGTTATAATGAGTAGTATATCTAATTTCTTCAACTAAAAGTGTGTTCCTGCTAGGTTTTGGCAGGAGGGCACTGACAATTCGAATTGTTGGGTCATTTAATTAAAGGGTCTCTCTTTCCATCTTTAACCTGAAGAGTCTATATCAAGGGTTTGTTCTCCCAAAATAGATACTAGATGTTTCTCATAAAAACAAACGCTCTCACGCCTGTAATCCTAGCACTTTGGGAGGCCAAGGTGGGTGGATTACCTGAGGTCAGGAGTTCATGACCAGCCTGGCCATCATGGTGAGACCCCATCTTACAAAAAAAAAGTTAAAAAAAAAAGAAAAAAAAAAGCTGGCTGGGCACAGTGGCTCACGCCTGTGATCCTATCACTTTGGGAGGCCTAGGTGGGTGGATCATTTGAGGTCAAGGGTTTGAGACCAGCCTGAACAACATGGTGAAACCACATCTCCTAAAAATATCAAAAAAATTAGTTGGGCGTGGTGGCACACGTCTGTATTCTCAAGTACTCAGGGGGCTGAGGCAGGAGAATCATTTGAATCCAAGAGATGGAGGTTGCAGTGAGCCAAGATTGCACCACTGCACTCCACTCTGGGTGACAGAGTCAGACTCCACCTCAAAATAAACAAACAAAAATGCTAAGTTTCACACAGTAGAAAAAATAGGATTATTTCAGTAATGAGCTCCTTCTAGGAATATCTTAGCCCATATCACTACTGAACAGAAAAAAAAATTCACAGGAACCACTTTTCCAAGAGCCCCTTTTATGTCCTTGTTCCTCAGGCTGTAGATAAAAGGTTCAGCATCGGAGTCACCAGTGTGAACGTTACAGCAGCTGCTATATCTTTCTGAGCTGAGTAGAAGGATGAAGGGTTGAAATACAGAGACGATGGTGCCATAAAAGAGAACCACAGCCAGGTGGGAGCCACAGGTGGAGAAGGCTTTCCTTTGTCCCTTTGTGGATGGGACCTTCAGGACGATACACATGTTGTGCATATAGGAAGCCAGGATGCAAAGAAATGGGGTGATTATGACCAGGGCAGCCTCAGTAAGAATCATCTGAGCAGGAGAGTTTCAGGAGAGGAGTCACATCGCAGAAGATGTGAGGAATGGTGTCTGCACAGAAAGAGAGTTCAGCCATCAGCAGGGTGTGCAGCAGATAATTCTAGTTGGCAATGACCCACGATCCAGCAGCTAGCAGGGCACAGAGCTGATGGGTCATCTTTGCTGTGTAATGTAAGGGGTGGCACACAGTAACAAAGCGATCATAGGCCATCACAGCCAGGAGGAAATTATCCAGGTCAGCAAGCTCAATGAGGAAATATATCTGTGTGAGACAGCCAGAGGAGGAGATGGTCTGAGTCCCAAGTATGATTGGTCAGCATCTTGGGGACAGTGGTGGAGGAGAAGCAGATGTCCACAAAGGACAGGTTGCTGAGGAAGAAGTACATGAGAGTGTGCAGGCAGGAGTCTGTGCTGACAGCCAGGATGATGAGCAGGTTTCCCAGGACCATGGCCAGGTACATGCTCAGGAAGAGCATGAAGAGACGCTGCTGCTGGGACTGCCTGGAGAGTCCCAGGAGGAGGAACTCGGAGACACTTGACTGGTTTGTCCCGCTCACCGGTCTGATCCCAGATGCAGACAAGACAGACAGATCAGAAATATAGAAGCTGAGGCTATAGATGCAACAAGTCAAGCTCCAACCATGGCCATTTTAACAAACCTGTATTAGAGTTGCTCAGTCAACATCCACCCCAGTCCCTACACCCCTGACTTCCGATGTCCAGCCCTAGATGATATGGGTCCTTCTATACTCTTTCGGTGTTTTAAAATATATTAAAACAACATGCAGACTCATACACAGCCCTCCTCTGCTATTATATAGGTTTCTATTAACATTTCCAGGTTTTCTCCCACCCCTTAGTCACTCATAGAAAGGCAAAATCACTGATTATTACTGTGTCTATGTCAAATTCCAGCTGATGGTTCAGGACTCAGTATTAACTATTTCTTCCTGGATGTGGCATGTTTAGAAAAGGGAGCTTCTCAAAGAACTCCACTCAGTAGTATATATATGTTCATGGCCTTAACCTCTGTGCAGGATGAATGTTTGAGAGAACATTTCTCTCATTTACAGTAGCTTCCATGGCCATTGGGACTAGACTCTCTGGGAGTCTCATTAGAGTCAAGCAGAGATTAATTTTCCCATCTATTTCTTGGTCCCTGTGGACCCAACAATAATGCAAAGGTATATTTTCTCACTCCTGGGTCAGAACTTGGAGATAAAGCAATCTTGGAGACAAGTCCCAAAGAAAATTCACCAAGAACTCAAATTGCATCACCTTGCTGATCTGGGCATATGTTTATAGGTTTGAAAAGTTGGTTATCAAATGATTTTTCTTCTTAAATTCCTAGCTCAGAAGCTGAGATTATAGCAGTGTTATCTGAACCTCTCCCTTTTTTCCGCATATATGGTCATTTATTGCATTGACTTAATGAAGTTTTTGCAAATAGGGATGCAGAGGCTGGGGTGGGGTCAGGGGTAAAGGTGACATTGCAGAGTTGTGCTTTTTTTTTTTTGAGACAGAGTTTCGCTCTTGTTACCCACGCTGGAGTGCAATGGCGCGATCTCGGCTCACCGCAACCTCCGCCTCCTGGGTTCAGGCAATTCTCCTGCCTCAGCCTCCTGAGTAGCTGGGATTACAGGCACGTGCCACCATGCCCAGCTAATTTTTTGTATTTTTAGTAGAGACGGGGTTTCACCATGTTGACCAGGATGGTCTCGATCTCTCGACCTCGTGATCCACCCGCCTCGGCCTCCCAAAGTGCTGGGATTACAAGCTTGAGCCACCGCGCCTGGCCTTTTTTTTTTTTTTTTTTTTGAAATGAAGTCTCACTCTGTGACCCAGGCTGATCTCAGCACACTGCAACGTCTGCCTCCTGGATTCAAGCAATTCTCCCACCTCAGCCTCCGAAGTATCGAGGACTTCAGGTAGGCACCACGACACCTAGCTAATTTTTGTATTTTTAGTAGAGTCAGGATTTCACTATGTTGGTCAGGCTGTACTTGAACTCCTGACCTCAGGTAATTTGCCTGCCTCAGCCACTCCCAGTGCTGGGATTACAGGCATGAGCCACCTCACCAGGCTTGTGTTTAATCTCTTAAAACGTTTAGTGTACAGGATACCCTTTTTGTAATGGGAGAATATTTCAGGAGATGCACAGCATGTCATGACTAAGAAACTCCATGTTCCTAAAGTACACTTCCTTTGGGGATGTCTTCCAGCTCATATTGGGTCAGCTTTTTCTGAAAATGGCCCTCTAATCCACAGACACTCAGGGATATGGACTCCAGCAGCCCAGTTTACACTCTGATCACCTCCTCCCCAGTGAGAATTCATGATTGGACTAGGGCAACTGAAACTGGGACTGAGGCCCCAGATCATTTTCACTAGGACTTGGCCTGTAACATGTAAACCCAGAAGGTTGCAACTCACTTTTGGCTGATGCGTAGATTGATAAGAAGCAAAAGTCTATGGATAAGAGCAAAAAAATGTAAACACAGAAGAGCTGGAGAAAGTACTGATGGCTGTCCAGTTCATAGTTCAAGTCATTTTCTAATGACGGGCTGCATTCTGGCCTCACACACAGTTCTGAGTTGCATATAACAAAAACCAACTCTTGCTGAGTAAAGCAGGAAAGGATTTCATGAAAATGATAATGGATACCTTTCAAAAACACTGGACAGCTGGAGACCCAGGCTCAGAAGACCACCAGCAGCCACAGTGGCCCAAATAATACCAATGCTGCTGCTGCCTCCAAGCATAAATGTTGCCATTCATAGCTTTGACACAGTTATCACTGGACATGGGGTGACACCAGTCACACTGCTGCCACTGCTGCCCCAGGAATCCATCTTGCTGCAATGGCTGCCACTGCCAGAAAAAGTTCCTCTTGGTCTTCTCTTCCTTGGGCCAAAGGCTGAGTCGGGGTATCTGATGGACAGTCACATGCCCACATCTTTGCTGCAAGAGATTCTGGGAAATCAGTTATTCTGGGGTTCCCGTTTTATAGGAAGTAAGATATTTTCTAAATAGTTATGAAGCACCAGAGTACCTAAGATTTGGAAGGAGGTGTAATAAATCAGAAGCCAAAAACCATGATAAATGCTCACTAAAATCCATCCCTTCAATAGCACATTAATGCATACCCCTCTTACCAATTTACCCCAAAGAAACAATTTGGCCTAACATAGGGCAGCTATCGTTCCCACAATAGGGAAACAATGCAAAGTCCCATCAGTTACTGCATCAAGGTCCATAAAAGGATCCCCCCTACTCCAACTGGGATCTCATCTTGACAGTCTGAAACTTCAGAATCCAACCTGAAAGCTAATTGATAAAATAACTACACATCCTGTGTATGTAAAATATGGAGAAAAGAGGCCAGGCTCGGTGGGTCATCCCTGTAAGGCCAGCACTTTGTGAGGCCAAGTCGGGCAAATCATGAGGTCAGGACTTTGAGACAAACCTGGCCAACATGGTGAAACCTTTTCTCTACTACAGATAGAAAAATTAGCTGGGTGTGGTGGCGCATGCCTGCAATCCCAGCTACTGGGGAGGTTGAGGCAGAATCAATTGAACCCAGGAGGCAGAGGTTTCAGTGAGCTGAGATCATGCCATTGCACTCCAGCCTGGGTGACAGGGCAAGACTCCATCTCAAAGAATATATAGATATGGCCAGGCACGGTGGCTCAAGCCTGTAATCCCAGCACTTTGGGAGGCCGAGGCTGGCAGATCACGAGGTCAAGAGATCGAGACCATCCTGGTCAACATGGTGAAACCCCGTCTCTACTAAAAATACAAAAATTTAGCTGGGCATGGTGGCGCGTGCCTGTAATCCCAGCTACTTAGGAGGCTGAGGCAGGAGAATTGCCTGAACCCAGGAGGCGGAGGTTGCAGTGAGCCGAGATCGCACCATTGCACTCCAGCCTGGGTAACAAGAGCGAAACTCCGTCTCAAAAAAAAAAAAAAAAAAAAAAAAAAAAGAATATATAGATATGAGAGAGACAGAGAGAGAGAGAGAGAGGAGAGAGAGGGAGGGAGGGAGAGAGGAGAGAAAGAGGAAGATAAAAAGGAAAATATAAACAAATACTATAATCTTTATTTCTGCAGGTAGCCACAAACTGTTAGTTGATAATAATAATTACCCTTGTCCACAGTCTAATTCCTGTTCCTTGTCTTTAGCCAATGTCTCAGCTATTCCAGGTTGTTTTTTAATCTGATGTAGTAACCCAAAACTTCCATGTCAGAGATTTGGCTTCCTTATAATCCTGCCTGTAATGTATAAGATGGTTCTAGTTTCTTATTAGGTATTAAGAGAAGACATGTCCACTTGTACCCCTAGTTTCCTTGCCCTATAAATTCTTGGTTGAGAAAAAGTTTAGGATATATTGTCCACTGGTATGGATCTTATACCATTTCCTTAAAATAGCACCAAGGCCGGGTGTGGTGGCTCATCCCTGTAATCCCACCACTTTGGGAGGCTGAGGCAGGTGGATTACAAGGTCAAGAGATCAAGACCATCCTGGCAAACATGGTGAAATACAAACATTAGCCGCGAGTGGTGGCACGTGCCTGTAGCCCCAGTTACTCAGTAGGCTGAGGCGGGAGAATTGCTTGAACTTGGGAGGCGGAGGTTGCAGTTAGCCGAGGTCCCACTGCATTCCAGCCTGGAGACAGAGCAAGACTTTGACTCAAAAACAAATAAACAAACAAACCAACACCCCAAACTTACAGAGTAGCTTAAAATTGTGCCAAAAGTTGAGTGTTTAAAAGACCATCTCATTATTCCATAAGGTCAGCTGCTTCTGGTGATGGTGTACAAGTAAATACTCATGGATCCCATGGACACCAGGCTGACCCCTTGTGTTAATTACCTATTGTATAACAAATTATTCTAAAATTTAGCAACTTAAAACAGTGAACATTTCTCTCATGCAGATCCTGTGAGTCCAGAATTTGGCAGTGGTTTAGCTGAAAAGTTCTGGAAGAGAGTTTCTCATGAAATTGCAGTTAAGTTTTCCACAGCAGCAACTCAGTTGTCTGAAGGCTTGACTGAGGCTGAAGGATAGGATTCCAAGACGGCTCTTTCACATTAATGTCGGCAGGAAGCCTCGATTTCTCACATGGACCTTTCAGACATGTTCTCACACATAATAGCTTGTTTTCCCCAGAGCAAGTACTTCAGGAAAGCAAGATGGAAGCTACAGTATCTTTTACAACCCAGCTCCAGAAGCTACACTATCTTTTACGACCCAGCTCCTGAAGCTACGGTATCTTTTATGACCCAGCTCCATTGTTTCTTACATCCACTATCGCTGAGTCCACCAGACCATTTCAATGTGGGAAGGGATTATACAAGGCTAGCATCATTGAGAGTCATCCTGGAAAGTGACTGCCATATCTTTTTTATTATAAGTTGAATTCCTTGGTTAGACAATGTCTATGGGATGACAAGTTGATGAATAAACCTGTGCATCCCTAATACACATTCTTCTGTCTTTGCTTTCAACCTCAGGTTGATTGAGCACCTCTTTTTGTACATGGTTTCCCTTTCCTGGGTGCTTCTGCACATCCCTAGGCACCCAAGTTCACTGTAGGTTTTCTTCCTATAGCATCCCACATCATAACTTTGATTATATCATCCTGATTAGGTGGGCAGTGATGCCTGGGATGTGATCAAGATCCGGGAGTCTGACTCACAAGTCTCAAGTCTTATTATCTCCATTAGGTCTGCAGTGTAGGCCACTGTCTGCAGAGCCAAATCCAGAGCCCGAGTCATCTACATCAATTTTTGTGCTGCTGGCCCCCCAGTCAACCTCACCTTTTGAAAAGATACCCAGATTGGAAGTCAGACCTTGACCTCCTTCAGTGCCACTCGTGAAAGTAGAAGACAAGAATCCTGAACATTTGGTGATCCACCGTATCCAGAGAGGGCAGAGAGGTGGGGCAGAAACCTAAAGAACCTGGGGCAGGTGGAGTGAGAGTGCTCACGAAATCCGCCAGCCGCCCAGGTTTGGCGGGCACCAACACCAATGTGCCTCTTCAATCCTTTTCGGAGTATAAGAACTAGAGCCGGCTGGGCGCGGTGGCTTACGCCTGTAATCCCAACACTTTGGGAGGCCGAGGCGGGTGGATCACGAGGTCAAGAGATCGAGACCATCCTGGTCAACATTGTGAAACCCCGTCTCTACTAAAAATACAAAAAAATAGCTGGGCATGGTGGCGCGTGCCTGTAATCCCAGCTACTCCCGAGGCTGAGGCAGGAGAATTGCCTGAACCCAGGGGGCGGAGGTTGCGGTGAGCCGAGATCGCGCCATTGCACTCCAGCCTGGGAAACAAGAGCAAAACTTCGTCTCAAAAAAAAAAAAAAAAAAAAAAAAAAAAAACACCTAGAGCCAAGGCAGACCAAGAGGCTGTCTCCCAGCTATGGTAATTCCGGAGAAACATGGGTGCCGTACATCTCCACGGAGATCGCGCCGAGGTCATGCCCCGCCCCTTTGTAAGTAATTGGACAGAAGGGCGCTATCAGAAAAAATAGTCCTCTATTATTGGATAAGTAAAGAGAAACCTACAGGGGGCGGGGCAAGGAGAGTTGGACAGCACAGCCTCGGATTGGTCCCGTTGGAGGGCGTGCGTCGCTTTCCCAGGAAGGGATCCCTGAGTTCGTCTCTGCCGCCGTGCGCCTGCGCATGGTATACTGGACACTTGATGGGGAGGTGATTTGCGTGCAGGAGACCCCGGATCCCGCGCGGACAAAATTGAAGGACGTGCAAAATTTAATGGAGCCAAAAAAATTTAGTAATGAAGATAAATAATATCTAAATGAGATATTTTTTAAAAGCAAAATTAATGCAAAGACTGGTAAGATAGAAGCTGTATTTTAGCTCTTCATTTGTCCAAAAGAAATTGTCAAATACTCTGGCAATTCTTTCAGTTGAAACCAAGGTAAGCGAATAATTACATTTTGGAAATATTATTGATGTTTGTTACCAGGGCCACCACTGCATTCCAGCCTGGCGACAGAGCAAGACTGTCGTAAAAATTTAAAAAAAGGGCTGGGCGCGGTGACTCAAGCCTGTAATCCCAGCACTTTGGGAGGCCGAGGCGGGTGGATCACGAGGTCAAGAGATCGAGACCATCCTGGTCAACATGGTGAAACCCCGTCTCTACTAAAAATACAAAAAATTAGCTGGGCATGGTGGTGTGTGCCTGTAATCCCAGCTATTCAGGAGACTGAGGCAGGAGAATTGCCTGAATCCAGGAGGCGGAGGTTGCGGTGAGCCGAGATTGCGCCATTGCACTCCAGCCTGGGTAACAAGAGTGAAACTCTGCCTCAAAAAAACAAACAAAAGGCCGGGCGCGGTGGCTCAAGCCTGTAATCCCAGCACTTTGGGAGGCCGAGGCGGGTGGATCACGAGGTCAAGAGATCGAGACCAGCCTGGTCAACATGGTGAAACCCCGTCTCTACTAAAAATACAAAAAATTAGCTGGCCATGGTGGCGTGTGCCTGTAATCCCAGCTACTCAGGAGGCTGAGGCAGGAGAATTGCCTGAACCCAGGAGGCGGAGGTTGCGGTGAGCCGAGATCGTGCCTTTGCACTCCAGCCTGGGTTAACAAGAGCGAAACTCCGTCTCAAAAACAAAAACAAACAAACAAACAAAAAATGATAAATAAATAAATAAATAAAAGTTAATGGTCCTCACCAGCATCCCCTCATTGCTTTGGGTTGTCCTTCTCTTTTCATTCATCTATTTATATGGATCTCCTAAGTCTTGCTAAACGTTATTAACCTTCATCTGAAAACTTTCACTGGGCACAGACTTGAGAATACTCAGTGTCTCTCTCTTCACTGCAGTCTACGAAAAGAAAGTATGCGCCCAACGTGGGGCTCGAACCCACGACCCTGAGATTAAGAGTCTCATGCTCTACCGACTGAGCTAGCCGGGCTTTCTGGCAATGCTTTCTGATAATGGAATGTGTGCTCACCACTTGACATTAGCATGAGGATGAAGCGGGAGTGCCACCAACTGTTAACTGGGTCCTGACCTTCCCAGGAGAAGCAAAAGTCAGCCAGGAGAAACCTAACCCATGTGTCCTGGTGGCAGGTGGCACAGAGACGCTGAGGTCCTGGAAGCCCTAGGCAGGGCCTCAGTGACCAAACCTACCCTGTGGAGCTGCTCACCCACTACATCCCACCCTATGTTCTTGGTCCCAAGGGGCACCCAGACATACCCAAGACCACATTGCCCAATAAAGTCATTCATGCATTCAAATATTTATTGAGTGCCTACTATGTAACAGGTACTGAGGATACAGCAGTTAACAAAACGGACTTTTATGGAGAAAGTGAATTTTAAAAAAGTTTTTAAAAATGGACTTTTAAAACAAGAAGAAAGGGGGCGGATTCCAGATAAGAAGCAGTTGCTGGTCTTTACTTCCATTTCGTTTTTCACCGGGATGGATGCCGCATTTGAAGCCAGCGTGTCATTTAATCCCCACTCCAGACACGGTAGCTGTTTTTTGTTTGTTTGTTGTTGTTTTTCCCGCTCTTTCTTTCTCTTTCTTCTTTCTTTCTTTTTCTTTTTCTTTTCTTGCTTTCTCTCTTTCTTTCTTTTTCTTTCTTTCTGTAAACATAATTAGCACATTGTCTTTTTAGGGAGGATTCTCTCCTGTTTCCGTAGCCACCTCTCTTTAAAGGAAGGAAGGGAAGGAGGGAGGGAGAGGGTGGGAATCGCAGCGTCTGAGATTAGGTCTAGGATGCGGCGCTCTGAGCAAGAAGCGCCGGACTGGGCCGGGATGCGCTTCCCAGAGCCCGGTTGTCATTTCTCTCCTGGGGACACCGGGACTTTCCCCCACCAGAGCGCTTACTGAGTCACACGTGGATCTGGACAGCACTCGCTCCACCCCAAATCCTGTACCGATGCCAAGACTCCACTCAGGAGGTCTTTCATTCCCAGGAGGAACTATCAGAAGACACAGAAGTAGGGCGGTAGCTCACGCCTGTAATCCTAGCACTTTGAGAGGCCAAGGCAGGAAGATCACTGGAGCCCAGGAGTTCCAGAGCAACCTGAGCAACATAGGAAGACCCAAATCACTCACGATCATAAACCAGATTATGTCCATGTGATCATCTGCCCACCTCACTTCCAATTCTGCAAGTGCCCCTGCTGAAATTCCAAAAGAGACCTCTGTTTTCTACTTTCCCTGTTTACCTTTGACCTGCAAATTTTTCCATTTTGCTAGAATCTCTTTTTCTCTCCTCCTCTGCTCTGGCCAACTGCCAAGAGTTTTTGACACTGATCATACACAAACATCTGGGGCCGAGGAGCCGCTGTTTGTTTTGTGAAAAGTGTATCACACACGTCTTCCGTGGAGGATGTCCAAGTCAACCAGGATAGATTGAATGCACTTTTCTGAGGTTGAACGACATTAATGAAACAAAATGTATGCAATTCATCCCCTATTCATGGTGGTCGCCCTTCCCCTTTTTGAACAAAACTGCTCTAATAAAACATCCTTGGGCATACGTTGTACTTTTATTTCTTTGAAATGGAGTCACAGGGGTTGAACTTTTGGGTCAAAGAGGTATGTATAGGGCTGGATGAGGTGGCTCAGGCTGTAATCCCAGCACTTTGGGAGGCCGAGGCCGGTGGATCACGGGGTCAGGATATAAAGACCACCCTGGCCAATATGAGGAAACCCCATCTCTACTAAAAATACAAAAATTAGCTGGGCGTGGTGGTACATGCCAGTAATCCCAGCTACTCAGGAGGCTGAGGCAGGAGAATGGCTTTAACCTGGAAGGCGGAGGTGGTGGTGAGCCAAGATCACACCACTGCACTCCAGCCTGGAGGCAGAGTGAGACTCCCTCTAAACAAAACAACGAAAGAGGTGTGTATACCAGGGTTGCTTTCTAAAACAAAAAGTCAAACAAAACAAAACAAACAGGAAATCAGCTTCCCTTTCCCAGTTGTATATATATGAAAACTGTACATTGCCTTTTCTTGTCCCTTCGCTTTGGCATGGAGAGAGTAAAGTCTCCACTATTCTCACTCCAGAGAGGGAAAGAGATAGTGTGTTTTTTGAGTTTGATGGCCTGTTTTTCTTCCCAACTCTTGCCTGCCTTCCTATATTTGTAAGTTGACTTGTTCTATCTGGGGATCTTTTAAAAGGTCACTGAACAAATACGGGTGAATGTCACCTTACCCCAGGTGGGACTCGAACCCACAATCCCTGGCTTAGGAGGCCAGTGCCTTATCCATTAGGCCACTGGGGCAGCCGTTGGGTTTCCTACTGAGAATACTGAAAGAGAATAACTCACCGTAGATGGCAAGAAAATGACCTTAGCATTGATTTGGGCATTTATTCAAGAAAGTATGCCAGCTTGAGCAACACAGTGAGATCCCCTCTCTGCAAAACAAGGTCAGGAGTTCAAGAACAGCCTGGGCAACGTAACAAGACCCCGTGGCTACAGAAAAATGGAAAAAAGTAGGCCGGGTGTGGTGACCGATCCATCCTCCAGTGATATCCTGGGTGACGGATTTGAGATCCTGTCTCAAAAAAAATAAGGCTTACTTGAGTTCTTGCAACACAGCAGCCTCCATTCGGGTCGCCGGGGACGCCACAGTCCCCGTGGAGCTCTGCAGGCTGCGCCTTCGCACCCGCCGCACTGCCCTCTCACAAGTGGTTTCTGCTCCTCCAGCCCGCATGAGCTACGTAGAGCCCGACTCATCTGATCCTCCAGAAAGGAGTTCCAGGCGCCCGAGAACTAGATATTCCTTCGGAGTCAGAGAGCAATGGAGGATCTTGGGCTGGGTGAGTCGGTGGAGCACTGAGCCTTCATGTGAGGCCCTTGACAGCCTTGCTGTGTGTTTGATAAACGTCAGGTCCTCCTGGGGCCCAGCGCTTGAACAAAAGATCCCGCAGGGGCTGGACGCGGTGGCTCACGCCTGTAATCCCAGCACTTTAGGAGGCCAAGGCAGGTGGATCACTTGAGGTTAGGAGATCGAGGCCAGCCTGGCCAATAAGGCGAAACCGGGTCTCTACTAAAAATACAAAAATTAGCCGGATATGGTGGCTCCCCCAACTACTCGGGAGGCTGAGGCAGGAAAATCACTTGAATCCGGGAGGTGAAGGCTGTAGTAAGCCAAAATCGCTCCATTGCACTCCGGGATACAAATCGCTTGAACCCGGAAGGCAGAGGCTGCAGTGAAATCACTCCATTGCAGACAGCTCGGGACAGACACCCCACCGGACCCCCAGAAGCTCAAGTGCAAGCTCAAGTCAGAGTCCTTTAAGTAGTCCCCTCCCCATCCCCCGCGCCGGCACCCCGGGGCCGAGCTCAAGACTCAGAGTTGGGAAAACGTCCATGACGCGGAGGAGGCCCGGGAGATTCCATCCTGGACCTCGATTACCCTGGGATCAAAGTGAGGGGAAGCAAAGAGCCAGACAAAACCCTCCCCTTGAGGCTGCTCAAAGCCGACGCCCCCGGGATCGTGAACAAGACCCGTCTGCAGACGAGCTCCTGGTTTGGGGGATGTGCTTCGCCCTCTGGATACGCGAGCTCTCTACTTAAAGTAGTTTGCACTTTAGCGGAGGGAGGGAGGAAAAGGAGGCTCGGACTTCTGTGGGCGGAGCTCCGCTCCCGACTGGTTCTGGGTCACTTCTCCTCTTTCTTCTGTCCAGGCCTAGGGGATCTGGGAGGTGGTACAGCAATGAAATAGGAGACAAGCGAACTGGAGCAGATGACAGCCGCAAACGGCACCAGACCAGCGGAGCGCGCTGAGACTGGACGATAGGCAACCGCCAGCTGCAAGCCCACTACCTGGAGCCAGACACGTTTTATTAATTTTTGGGTTTTTGTTTGTTTTATTGTTTTGTTTGTTTGTTTGTTGTTGTTGTTGTTGTTTAGACGGAATTTCGCTCTTTTCACCCAGGCTGGAATGCAGTGGCACAATCTCGGCTCATTGCAACCTCCATATCCTGGGTTCAGGCAGTTCTCTTGCCTCAGCCTCCCAAGTAGCTGGGATTACAGGTGCCTGCCACCCTGCCTCGGCTAATGTTTGTATTTTTAGTAGAGACGGGGTTTCACCATGTTGGCCAGGCTAGTCTCGAACTCCTGACCTCAGAAGATTCGTCCACCTCAGCTTCTCAAAGTGCTGGGATTACAGGTATGAGCCACTGCACCCGGCCTAGATCCTTTAAAAAAAATGTTAATGAGGTTGGGGGCTGTGACTCACACTTGTAATCCTAGAGTTTTGGAGAATGGAGGTAAGGAGGATCACCTTATATAGGATAAGAACATATATGTAAGCCGGGCGCGGTGGCTCAAGCCTGTAATCCCAGCACTTTGGGAGGCTGAGGCGGGTGGATCACGAGGTCAGGAGATGGAGACCATCCTGGTCAACACGGTGAAACCCCGTCTCTACTAAAAATACAAAAAATGCCGGGCGCGGTGGCTCAAGCCTGTAATCCCAGCACTTTGGGAGGCTGAGGCGGGTGGATCACAAGGTCAAGAGAGCGAGACCATCCTGGTCAACATGGTGAAACCCCGTCTTTGCTAAAGATACAAAAAAATTAGCTGGGCATGGTGGCACGTGCCTGTAATCCCAGCTACTCAGGAGGCTGAGGCAGAAGAATTGCTTGAACCCAGGAGGCGGAGGTTGCGGTGAGCCAAGATCGCGCCATTGCACTCCAGCCTGGGTAACAAGAGCGAAACTCCATCTCAAAAAAAAAAAAAAAAAAAAAAAAAAAAAAAAAAAAAATACAAAAAATTAGCTGGGCATGGTGGCGCCTGCCTGTAATCCCAGCTACTCAGGTGGCTGAGGCAGGAAAATTGCCTGAACCCAGGAGGTGGAGGTTGCGGTGAGCCGAGATCTCGCCATTGCACTCCAGCCTGGGTAACAAGAGGGAAACTCCGTCTCAAAAAAAAAAAAAAAAAAAAAGAATATATATATAGTGGCCGGGCTATATAATATAATCCCAGCACTTTGGGAGGCCGAGACGGGTGGATCACAAGGTCAAGAGATCGAGGCCATCCTGGTCAACATGGTGAAACCCCTTCTCTACTAAAAATAAAAAAAATAAAAATAAAAAAATAAAAAAATAAAAAAATTTAGCTGGGCATGGTGGTACGTGCCTGTAGTCTCAGCTACTCAGGAGGCTGAGGCAGGAGAATTGCTTGAACCCAGGAGATGGAGGTTGCGGTGAGCCGAGATCATGCCATTACACTCCAGCCTGGGTAACAAGAGCGAAACTCCGTCTCAAAAAAAAAAAAAAAAAAAAAAGAATATATATATATGGGATATATATACATATTCTTCACTTCTGTAGGGGCCTAAGGGCATAACCAGATATCTGTCACTTTAAATCTTCTGCTTGAATTTCTTTTCAGTTGGTTCTCAAGTGCCCAATATTGGATTGTTCACGATTCTTGGTTCATAGCCCATTCTCAAACCCAGCATCCCAAACAAAAACGAAGGCCCTGCCAATAGAACCTGTCCTCAGAGCAGACCAGTCGAGGCCCCAGTCTTGGTGGGTGCTGGGACTCAGGGCAGGGTACCAGACCCCGGGTTCAGTCCCTAGTCTTCCAAAACTAGGAGGAGGAAGCAGAGGAGCCCCAGGAGGCTACAGGCAGGTGAGGAGTGACGGGATGTGGGGAGGGAGAGGACTCTAGACCTCAGATACAAACTCCCATAGTCCATCTCCTCTGCTCAAGTGCCCAGCTCCCTCTCTCATTAAGACTGTGACTGCTAGAGCCAGGGATAGTAGGTGGGAGTCCCAGTCTGGACGTTTTAAGGCTCTGACTGTGAAGATTCGGCTCTTATTGTATATAGGAACTTGTCTCTTCAGTGCCTCGAGTTTGCACCGACAGAAGTAGCTTTAAAAACAACAACAACAACAACAATAAAAACCAAACAACAAAAAAATAGCTTGTCAAAAGGGCTCTGGTGACACTGGTGACAGGACTCTAGATGAATTTGAAGAGATAGTGAGATAGTAGGCAGCGTCAACATAGTTTGAAACCTTTGTAAAAATCACCTTTGAAGGGCATCCATGTCCAGCGCTGAGGTCTCTAGGCCAAGCGGAATCCAAGAGAGTAGGAAACCACATTTCCTGGACCAAAAGTTGGGCTCGTCCGGGATTTGAACCCGGGACCTCTCGCACCCTAAGCGAGAATCATACCCCTAGACCAACGAGCCACACAAGTTACAGTTTAAGGTTGTCTTTGTGGGCATTCTAGCATTCTGGAGCGGCAGGGGCGGAGCCAGCAGAACCCGATGAATAGACCGGTTTCAGACTCGACTGGAAGGGACAAGTTCAAGGGCGGATGGGTGGGCGGGAGCTCAGAGCCCCAGCCCCTCCCCGCAGTCGCACAAAATGGAGAGCAGCCCTGGCACCCCCATAATCCAGGAGCACCTTGGGTCCTCCCCCTCCGCCGCCACTCGGCCCTGGGCTGGGGACCCTCGTGGCGCAGTGAGGAGCTCCAGCTCCTGCAGTATATGGGGACCTCTCAATAGCGGGCAGCGACTCCGCTGAGGGTCCGCGAACGGCGATCACTAGACGCCAGGCTTGGAACGCTGCAGTCCTGCAGCGTGGCGCTAATGGATGGTCAGTAAAGGTCTGCTGAGTGCACTAGGCACTAGTCACCAGGCCCCTTACCTCGCCGCCCCACACGCTTCTCCGGCCCGGGTCCTCCCCTCTCCCTCAGGGAAGCCAAAGCCCAGAAAGCGAGTTTCCTGTGTGGGCCTCGAACCCTAAAGGCTGACGCTGAGAGTCACTTTGCTCCACCGATTGAACCAGCGTCACAGTGCCCGCGTGGCCTCAAGCCCCAGAATGGCTGTGCCCCCGGGGAAGGCCACCTCGGTGGTGGCTCAGGCCACCCACCACACTGCGCACCAACGGCGATTCAGCGATGCGCCCCCTTCCCCTTCACTGCGTGGAGCTGGAGGGACCTCCGGTCTCCAGGACCCCGGGAGGAGGAAGAATGCAGCCCTCGGGGCAGCAGAGGCCGCGTCCAGGCGCCGGGCGTCGGTTCCGGGGCACCCTTTTCTGTCTCTCTGTCCTTCTGTGTGTCCAGATTTCACCCGACCACCGAGAATCCGGCAGATCTGGGCTGAAAGGGCCTCCTCCCCTCCGGATCCAAGCCGCGTATTTCTTGGATCTCAGTGGGAAGGCCCCAGGGCCTGGGCGTGGAGACGGGCCCGAGACCCCCATCCCCTCAGGGCCCACCGAAGTGCTGTCCGCGGACGCCCAGGCTTCCCCTCCTCCCTCCTCCCAGTCACTCCCCTCACTTCTCCCCCACTGCCCGAGTTCTCCTCTTCTCCCAATAAACTGCAGTTTTAAGCGGGAGTAGGGCGCACCCCTACTGGAGCCACCACCCTCTCGAACGCTGTGAAAAATTTGTGCACCTGGAGCGACCAAAGAGTCCGGCGCATTCTTTTTTATTCTAAATAACCTCCTGCTGCCCGGAGTCGTCTCCTTTAACTGCGGTTGCCGCAGTTGGCAGCGCTGGATTCCATTTCGACCGGTGAGGGATCCAGGTTGGTCCGTCGGCATCCCGGGACCCCGGGAGGTCCACACTGTGGCTCTGCCAGCCTCCTAGTCTCCCGTCCTTCCTGAAGATACAGAAAGAAAAAAAGAGAAAGCAAAGAGGGCTTGTCCGGGATTTGAACCTAGGACCTCACGCACCCAAAGCGAGAATCACACC